TTTTTTTTTTTTTTTTTTTTTTTTTTCCTTTTCCCAAACACTCTTTTTTTCCTGTAGCTCCAACCTAGGCAATATTCAGAGTGTATGGCAGAGCAGGGTAACTAAAGCCCCAGGTTTCTGGCTGGAGGACTGAAAGAAGAACCCAAGGAGACTGTAAAGTACAGCAGGAAGGTTGAGAGACAAGGGAGCTTGGGTAAGCAGTTCCTTAAAGTTGTTGACAAACTTCGGGGCTCAGTACGCTAAGCTGTGTTTGTGTGGGTCTGACCCTGACTAGCTCATTAAAGACTGAGAATCCAGCTCAGGGATAAAGCAGCCAGCTGTCCCTGGACAAGTGGGGCACACACAGGGTGTTGCTGAGGAATGTTGTTAAGGTGATGATGACCACTTCCTGCAGAAGGCTGGTTAGAACCGGTGGCCCAACCAAGTCAATGCCTGCTCAGCAAAAATACCTACATTCTCCATAGGATTTAAGCAAGATCCACATTGTCCAATAGCACAATACCAGACAGGCTGAAGCTAATGTGATACAAGTTGGACTGATTTGATAGAGACTCTGTGGCATTATCTCTGTCATCCTGGACTATGTTATTCTACATGGCATTATCATTTTGCAGATTTGACTTACCAGCTAACCTTGAAGTCGTAAGGCTGACCTGGATTATCCAGGTGGATTCATATAATTACATGAGCCCCTTAGAAACAAGGATCTGTGTACAGCTGGTGGCAGATGGGAACAGCAGAGGCCCTAGAAACATGAGAGGTTTTCATAGCACTGCTCCTGGCTTGGAAAACAGAAGGGACCACGAGCCAAGGAATGCAGATGGCCTGGGGAAGCTGAGAGTGACCAACAGTTGATAGCCAGTGAATAGAGACCTCAGTTCTTTACCTGCAGAACCCATGACCCTGAAAGTGCCTGCTCCTGCAGAGACTCCAGATAAGACCCAAGGACAGCTGATCCCTTTACTTAAGATTAAGACTCTGAGCAAAGAACTCTGGTGAATTTACTTCTGACCAAAATGATGCTATGATAAAGGGCTGTGGTTCTGCTGGTTTTAGTGGTTCACACCTGTAATTATAGCTAATTGGGAGACTGAGGTGGGAAAATCACAAATTTGAAGACCAATTTGGACTACCTAGCAAGATCCTATCTCAAAAAAAAAACACACACAAAAAAAACAAAACAAAACAAAAAACAACAGATGAAGGAGTAGTTCAGCATTCCCTGGTTTCAACCTACAGTACTGATGGAACTGTTGCTTTAAACTAAGTTTCTGGTAATTTACTAAGGCTATAATAAAAAACTAAGCCAGGGATTTAGCTCAGTGGTTCCACTGCCTGCCTCGCAAGCACAAGGACCTGAGTTTGATCCGTGGTACCCCCACAAAAAAACTAAGACTCACCTTTGAAAGCAGCTGTTATTAGAATATTTCAGCTATTTTTGTAACAGGCAGAAACATAGATGGGGTTGGCAAATATATAGGAAATATAAAAAATCAAATGGGAATTTTAGTAAAAAATACAATGGAAATGACAAAGAAGTGACTTCATAATGTATGGGTGTATGGTTTTTAAATCGAAGGGTTTTTTGTGTGTGTGTCTTTCTAGTCTTGAGAAATTTTATTATAGACTGTTGGATTGGATCCAAGATCCAGGGTGCTAGTCTTGCCTCTCCATATGTTGGGCCTGTGACCTTCAGCAAGTAGCTTTGTTCTCAGGGCTGTCGTTACCCTTAGAAAAATGTAAACTGGGCTGGCACTCACCAAGTAGGAGCCTCTCTGTGACCTGTGAAATAACTGAAGGGTTCCTTTAGTTATTGGCCACATCAGGTTGTTGCTAGTTTTTTTTTTAATTATGGAAAATTCCAAACATTCACAAAACTGTAAGAATGTATCAAAGCCATGCACTCAGCTTTGATCAACACATGGGCAGACATTTTTTCTCCTGTACCTACTCCATTTATCTTTAATTCACTGGATTATTTTAAAGTAACTGTCAGCTGTTATTCCCTTTTGTCCAATTAAATACTTGGTATATGTCTCTAAGGAATAGGGACATTTTTCTTCCTTCATATCCCCATATTATTACTGAAACAGCTAAGAATATCAGCAATTTCTTTTATTTAAGTATCATCACTGTTTAATAAACTAACTCATTGGTCCAAAATATTTTATTCGGGATTCAAATAAAGGTCACGTAATATATCTTAACAGTTTGTATTGCTTAACTTATCCCCTTCCCATTTATTGAAGAAATAGATCATCTGTCTATAAAATATGCTACAGTCTGTATTTAGTGATAAAACTTATTCTATAAGATATACTTTACTGGCAATCTGTAGTGACATTATTGGATTTTTTTTTTTTTTTTTTTTTTTTTTTTTTTTTTTT